CATTCTCAAGTTCATGTGACAATCTTTCAAAGATAGCATTAGGTACACTTTAAAATAGAATAACTAATCTAATGAAGTGTCACTGAAATGATTACAGGGGACTGTAATAGATACCATAAAGTCACCTCACATTTATAGACTCCTTAGCAGTTTTGGGAAGTACCTTCTCAAGCTTTCTTCTGTTCACTATCATAAGTCTCCAGGATACAGGATACAGAGGGCAGGGATGACCTCTGCCATTTTGTGAACAAGGAATATGGCATCATGGCTTAGAGCACAGGCCCTAAGGCCATTCTTTGGCCTTTAGTTTTTCTGTAAGGTGAGGATATTATTAATACTTGTGTCAAAGCGTTATTTGATGACTGTTTACAGCTCTAAGTTCTTGGCACATAGTCAGTGCCTTATCTGTGCTTGTCATTATAATGAGGAAACTGATCTCAGGAAGGTCTTGGAGTTGCCTGAGGTCCCTGGGGTAGAGAGGGGGCAGAACCCCTATCCTGACCCTTAGATGGAGATGCTGCCCTGCCCTATGCTGACCTTTTGGATTCCAGTGAATCTCAGCTGATGCCAGAAGGCTCTCCATGGAGTGAATGGCAGCCTGCTTCATTCCATGTCAAAAGGAACTAGGCCCCTTAAGTCACACCTGATGGAGAGTGCTGGCCCCTAATGGCCAGGAGACACTCAGGACGTCACAGATAAGAACCTGTGAGCATCCATCTGCTGACCGCCAGGACAACTGTCGCCTTAGAGTCACATGGTCCTCCGGGTATGGTACATGGAGACTGCTGACAGAAAATCACACAGGCCTCCAGTGAGAGGGACACGTGTCAGTCCATGAGAGCATCAGAGCACCACCGCTCCCTTCCCACAGGCCTCAGGGGTGCTGCCTTGTGCAGCTTACCCAACACCTTTTCCTGGTGAAGTCATGTTCAAATTTCAGCATCAGGCAGATGTCAGCAGATTTCACTCTTCTGGAAAACCTTCCTGCACTCTCCCCCAGGTAGAAAACGTGCTCTCCCACAGAAGCTGCCAAGGAATCTTCTTGCCATTATTACAACACTCATCATACCAGAACATTATTATGTTTAAGTAAATATTTATTTTCCCCACTTGAGTTTGAGCCCTCCAAGGACCAAGATTGGACCTCATGAACTTGATATCCAGATGCAAGGCCTGTGCACTGACAGCAATTGTGAGTATTTGCAGAAATGGAATGACTTGAATAACAGTTATCAGAATTGACTGTCCGTTTCCTTCTGGACAGAGAACAGGCAAGAACCTCTATGAAAACTTCAATTCTTCTCTACCCCCCGGTGCAGTGTGATCCAGGCACACCAAAGAAGCCTTTGGGAAACAAGTTTTCCTTCAGAATTGCCAAGACTAAAATGGCTTTCTGGAAACCAATTGATGAAACTTCGAATCAAAGAGAATTAGTAGGAGCCCGGCAAGAGAGACCAGGACAGAAGACTCAGTAAGGTCCCAGCTAAATTTGGTGGGGACACAGCCACACCCGGGCTGGCAAACCTCTCTCAGCATATCCTGGGAATGGAGTGGAGAGTCCCCTCTCCATTGGTATTATTATTTTTCCTTCTCTTGGCTTGCTGACATGCTCTGGCAGAACAGCTAAGGGCCTACACTGAAACCCCTGAGTGTTAAACAAACTTAAATATGATAGCCCCACCATCCAGCAAGAGCATCCTTGGGCAAGCTGTCATTTAACATCCTGACCTAGCATCCCTGTTTCCACCAGCAGATCAGCCATCAGATTGCTCACCCCCTTACCTACTTCTGCCCCTCTCACAGGCCTGTGTGGTTGCAGGCATGACCACACTGCAGGGTGGTGCTCACGCATTGAATTACAAATCTTCTCTGATTGGCAGAGTTCAGAAAGTTTTTAGCTCCCTATCTACCTTGGTGAGGTTGTGTAGCTACAGGTATCTGTGTGGCTGGTGGGAATATACGTGGGGGAGCAGCTCAGTGGGAGGTGGTGGGCAGTATTTATAGAAGTTGAACACACATACTATTGGACCCACCCAGTTCCACGGCAGTACGGGTTAGCATCTGTGGAGCTTTTACATGTGCCGGGTGCTGTATGCAGCACTGGATGGGTATTAGTTTATTCAGTCCTCAAACAAACGTTCTGAGGTTGGTGGCATCATCATCTGTGATTTCTAGCTGACAGTGCTGAAGTAGAGAGACATTAAATCGTCTGCCTAAGATTTTCCAACTAATAAGAATGCAGGGTCTGATTCGGGGATCAGCTTGCCTAGCGACCACACTACCCTAGGTCCTTCCACAGTGCTACACACTGAAGTATTACCTAGAATTGCAAAAACAAAGCCCATTTAAATGTCCACCATAAAAGAACAATTAAATATCTTACAGTTTTTCTGTTCAAAGGAGAGCTAGACAGTTGTTACGGTTTTAAAGAAGTTGATGGACGTGTACTGATGTGTTGCTATTCCCAAGTTATAAAAATTGAAGTTAAGAAAAGAAAAGCAGAATGTAGGAGAATAAGCTATCGTTTGTGGGGAAGAAGAACATCCGTAATGATGCCTCTGTGTGTACCAGATAGTACTGAAAGGATATAAAAGAAGAGATAAAATAAAACAAAACCAGAACTCTTCTAGGAAGGGGGGACATGGACGGTAGAATATATTCCTTAATATACCTTTTGAATTCTGTACCACAAATATGGATTGCTTATTCGAAAATAGAATTTAATTTGAAAAAGCAAACAATACCGGCAAAGTGCATGATGGTTCCCTAGCAGAAAACACTGCCCCAGATGTTTAATTCTATTATGAAATGCAATCATCGTGTGCAAGCTATTTGTTTATGTATGTTTCCCCGCTCCAGCATTCAGCGCAGAGGCTGGCACCTCCTAGAGGTGCAAATTGACCGCAAATGACTGTGGAATGAATGAATGACGTGTGTACTGAGCTGAGTCAAATGGAACTGGTGTTTGTTGAGGTTCCTCCAGCAACTCCACATATGGGGAGTCTGCACTGCCCTCCCAGGCTCAGCAAGGGACAGTGTTCTAGACTAAGGAAGGTCGGGGGCAGGCTGAGATGCACGGTGGATGGAGCCATGGTTCCCAACATGCACTTGAATTCTGGGCATCTCCAGTGCTTGCTTTGCTTAGCTGCAGCAGGAGACATTTGTGGTTAAGATAGTTTGTTGGGAGGTGGATGCTATTGGCGTCTGGTGAGAAAAGGCTGGGATGCTGCTAAATATAACACAGCAAACAACACAGCCCCTGCAACAGGAATCATCCAACCCCAAAGTCAAGTGCTAAACTGGGAAGCCCTGAGACGTGATAGCACGGGCTCATGGGCAATGTGACCAGGACTGGGGGACTTGTTCACAAGCCTGGAACTTCTCTGTGCTTGTATCCCCTGCAGTAGACAATACAGCCTGCAGTAGAATCTATCTGAATTGCACTTTTGTTTTTATTTTCCAGCTTATCTACTTTGTTTTAAATTTAATATCATCAAGGGAGGATACTAGCCAGCTCAGGCCCATCTCCCTGCCACATTCATTCTGAGGAGCTGAGGAATACCTCAGTATCACAGAACAACCTTTCCCGAAAACCCTTTGGGGGGGGGGAGGTTAGTGAAAAGGTCAGCTGTACCTGGGGCCAAAAGTTCTCTTGAATGCTAGCTCAAGGCTGGTTCTTGAGAAACTCGGGGAGAATGAAAATGAAACCGAGAAAAAAATAAAATTTCTGCCTGTTTCTCAGGAAGCAACCTTTGTTAGCACTCTGTGCTTCAGGCCCAGCAGCATGAAGGCCCCCACCCCAGCTGCCAGCCAGGCTGCTCGCAGGGAGGGAGTGAAGACAGGCCTGACAAGTCTTATTCTTTTTCAAACCACACGGATAATCACTTAAAACTCTATTTTCTTTGTGGTTTTTGCAAATGGATTTTGTGCTGATTTTTTTTCCTAAGCATTTTGGCAGAGCTGAGGGGTGACTGCACAAGAGCCCATTAGCACCAGCATGTGTCACTGGGGACACCAAAGTGCTGAGGCGCAGAAGAGAAATATCCTAATTAAAGCAAAAAAAGCAAGAGGTTACCTGGGTCTCTGGAATGCAGGGGTGTGGGCAGTCTGGATCTTGGGGTTTCTCCACAGCTCTTCCAGGGCGAACAATATTTTGTTGGATAAATTCTTCCAGCCTTAAAACCTAAAAAAGAAGAAAAGAAACGCTGGGAAGTGAAACAAAAGTCCTCCTTCCTGGCTCTGGTCACATTAACCTGGGAATCAATTCTTCTGGGTCTGTCTGCCCTGGGGAGAGTGTCCCATTAAAACAGCGGTTCTCAAGCTGTGGGTCACCACCCATAGGAACTGTACTAAAGGGTTGCGGCATTAGGAAGGTTGAGAACCACTGCATTAGACAAATACCACACGTGCTTCTATAAATGCCATTTCTAACTAGCTAGTGGCGTCATCTTTCCAGAAGAAGCTGAGTCTAGCATGTTGACAGGGTTCCACTCTTTCCTGTAAATTATTTACACACATATTTCTCTACTAGATCTGTACAATGGCTTGCATACTGTTTCTGGAATGCCATTTGATTTCTTTTTTAAAGAAAATGAACTGCT